TGTTTAGGCCTGTAGACGAATTCAAGAGGTCCTCAGCTATTCCTTTCCTCACCTAAATTTCCTCCAATAAGTGGCCCAAATATACACTAAGAACCACAACCAGGCAATAGTTCTATCAGTATAGAATAATGTTACAAACATATCTTAAACCTGACACACCAAAATCTTATTTTAATAACACACACGCACACATACACTCTTTCTCTTTCTCTCTCTCTCTCTCTCTCTCTCTCAGAGAATGACAATAAGTGTGAATTTTGTATGTGCCATGAGGAATCTGTCTCATTACTTATTTGAATGAAAGCACGTGTGACACCAGGCACAGTGGCTCACGCCAGTAATCCCAGCACTTTGGGAGGCCAAGGCAGGCAGATCACCTGAGGTCAGGAGTTCGAGACCAGCCTAGCCAACATGGTGAAACCCTGTCTCTACTAAAAATACAAAAATTAGCCGGGTGTGGTGGTGGGCACCTGTAGTCCCAGCTACTTGGGAGGCTGGGGCAAGAGAATCACTTGAACCTGGGAAGTAGAGGTTACAGCGAGCCATGATCGCATTACTGCACTCCAGCCTGGGTGATAGATCAAGACTCCGTCTTAAAAGAAAAAGAAAGCAAGCATGTGTGGCATTCAACATAAAATCACACATACCCTACAAATCAACTACCTTTAACTGCCCTCTCCCATTCCCTGCTTCCCCAGAGGTCCAGCTGTTGCTCCTAATCAATACCTCTCATTATGTACAGTGGTTAAAGCTGCCATTTGGAATGCAATGTTGATGAGGACATACTATTTTATTTAATTTTCAAAGCACTCATACTATTTTGTTCTATCAAAGGACAAGGAAGAGAAGCAGTTTAGTGGTGCTAAATCCACACTCATCTGGATCGTCTGGAATAAAAAATGCTCTGTCTCTCTCTTCCTTTCCTTATAGCATTGCCTCTAATTATGCAATTCCTTCTTTGTCATATCAAGTAGGATTCAGCTTTACAACATACGTCAGTAACCCACAATCCTTCAAATTCCGCCTTCTGATGGAATAGAAAATGCTTTGCAGCAGTTCAAGTACTGGCACGATGCCAACAGGGATGTTCTCATTTCAAAGTGTGGGCTGCCACCTCCTGGTTGTGATCCTTTCTCACGCAACATTCAGCTCTCCCCAGAAAGAGAACTGATCTGGCACAGGGGTTTTATTTGCTACGTCATTTAATGCAGTCTGACTTGACTGTTATATTGAACTATATCAACATAATCTTTTAGTTATTTTAAATACAAATTATCTTTAAAAAATCCTAAGCAGACAGTTATGCTTCTGTATAGCTAAAAATTCCTGCCCTATACTCAAAAGGGCAGATAATTTTTTTAAGTACGTTACTTTTTAAATATGCAAGAAAAATGTATTTTAATATATTTCTCTTCACTCTTCCCTTTATTCTTCACTTCTGAAAACAGAAGCTCACTTACTCTCATTAGAGAGTATCAGCGATTTAATTTTTCATCTTGATCAACATCCTCAACCTGAAATTAAAGTGTAACTTCACTGCCCTAAAACTGTTGTAAACATTCACAGCAGCTGCTGACAATAAAGCTGAAAGAGTTACTTAGCCATGAGTTAGCTCAGCCTCCTGCCATGACAGGAAACATAAATTTGCAGGTGCCCTCTAAGAGCACTGGACTTTTTCAAGTTAAGAGTTACTTTCTCCCCATTTAAACCTATTTTTTAAGGAAAATAAAATGAGACCTACATAATTAATGTCAGAGAGGGAAATCCCCTTCCTGAGACAGTGAGAGCAAACGGTAAATTCACTCAACAGCATGTACTTCATAAATGTCTGATACAATATTAGGTCCTAGGGATCCATTCTGTGGAACAGCTTAAAGATCTGCTGCCTTTAACAACTTTCTGGTGTGGAGTTATGGATTACAGTACAACTTTCAAGATTTAAGAGGTGCAGTGTGAATGGTGACAAAGAACTGTCTGAGTCTGCTTGGAGGGTCTGGAAGAGCTTCACAGGGGAACCTTCTGAAGAAGAAATAGGAGTCTGCCAGGTAATCAGACAGGGGAGAGAGACCCAGAGAGCAAGTGCAAAGCAAGAAAGAAGAAAAAACAACAGGGGGCTTAGGAGAAACAACCAGTAACTCAACATTAATTTTAACAAAAATTTTAAAAAGCTCCAGCTCCTAGGTCTGTAGAGTAAAAAGTAAAAAAATAGATAAAATAAATAAAATTAAAAGCAGATGAGGTCAGGTAGCTATGTAGGTAGTTCTCAAAGTCTTTGGTGGCCGGACGCACCGGCTCATGCTTGTAATCCCAGCACACAGGGAGGCCAACACAGGTGGATCACAAGGTCAGGAGTTTGAGACCAGCCTGATCAACACAGTGAAACTCCATCTCTACTAAAAATACAAAAATTAGCAGGGCGTGGCGGCACGCAGCTGTAGTCCCAGCTACTCGGGAGGCTGAGGCAGGAGAATCATGTGAACCCAGGAGGCGGAGGTTGCAGTGAGCCGAGGTCGCACCACTGCACTCCAGCCTGGGTGATAGAGCGAGACTCCATCTCAAAAATTTAAAAAATTTAAATTTTTTTTAAAAAGTATTTTGTATGTCCTACTAATAAATATGCATGTTAAAATGGTCACACTGGCAACAAAATAGGGAATGGACTGGAGGGAGGGTAAGACTAAAAGAGTGGTGATTACTAAGAAAAGAAATAAAACTTTGCAGGTGGAGAAAAATTAAAGATCTGAAGTACCAGGGCAGTAAGAATGGAAAGGATGGGCCAGATTAGATACAATTGTACAACTTGACTGGATGTGGGGAACTAGAAAGAAGGAAGACATTTAGAATTTCGCCAGTGTCTGGCTTAGGTACTAAATGGATGGTGATATATTCACCAAAATAGGAAATGCACTAGGAGGCATACATTTGCTGGGTGGTTGTAGCAACCTTAGGTGTGGAAATGCTGAATTTGAAGTGACTATCGAACACTGAGGTGAAGATGCGCAGTAGAAACTGAATACACAGATCTGAAGCTCAGAACAGAAGTCTGAACTAGAGATAGAAATTCAGGAGTCACCAGTGTATGAGCCGCAGATGGCATGGATAAAATGCCCCAGACAGAAGGGGTAAGCAGAGTGCCATGGATGAGAACCTGGGCAGATAGCCAACAGAGGACTCAACAGCCTACACAAGTCCCTAAATGGATTTTTTTTTGGGAGGAATAAATAAAGCAGTACATGTAATACACTCAGAACAGTACCTGACGCAGTGAGTGCTGAATAAATCTTGGCTATTCAGAAAGCACATGGCATGCTACTACACTGAGTCAGACAAGATGGAATCGTGAGGTCTAGACACTGCTCCACAGCATAGCTATACTGGATATAGAAAAGACTCAGTTACAGAAGTATAATTCTGTGTTTGAAATATTAGTTAATATACACAAACATATTCAAATACAGTCTAGAAGTATATATACCAAGATATGTACAGTGGTTACCTCCAAGTTACCTCTGAAAACAGCAGTTTTTATTTTCTTTATGCTTTTCTGTGTTTACCAAATTTTCTACAATGTATATGAATTACTTTTGAAATCAAATGTGTAAAGATTTTTAACTGTTTATTAAAGATCTAAAAGTTTGTAGCAGGAGTCTAAATGATCAGGAAAAATAATCTTTTGCCCAACTACCTCAAGCTCTAAGCAGGTATTAGAAGTAGGAGAAAGCAGAGGGACTGGACCCAGAAACTTAACCTGCTATAAATGGAAGAGAAAAGACTAAGCTGGAAGTCCCAATAAGTGAGATGGAACATGTATGGGTTCTTAGATTTAAGTATAACATAACCTCAGAAACAGTGGAACAGAAAAAGATATAACTAAAAGAAAAAAATCGCAAAGACCCTCACTCCTCTTGCCTTGTATGAACACACCAGCAATATAGAGCAATGCCAAAGGAAAGAAGAGAGGGAGTTATCAGCTCCTCCCAGCCCTCACGTGAACTGCTTTGCTGAATTCTAAATCAGACAAGACTAAGAGAAAAAATAAAATGTCAGAAGGACTTCAAAGGTATCCCTAACAATAGGAGGTCAAAACACGTTCCTTACACAGCAAGTCAGAAGAGTGGGAATTCAAAGATGGACCAAAATACATTCTTATGATTTTAACTGAGTCAAATGAAATTAATAAAAGCAATGGGCAGAAATCAATCACATGCCAATTAAAAGACGTCAGCTGGGATAAAACACATAAGAAGGATAATGTGATGGTTCGTTATATGTCAACTTGACCCGGCTATGGCACCCAGTTATTAATATTTGGTCAAACACAGGTGTAGAAGTTGTTGTGAAGGTACTTTTTAGATGTGATTAGTATTTAAATCAGTAGATTTTGAATAAAGCAGATTACCTTTTACAACGTGACTAGGCTTCATAAAGTCAATATAAGGCCTTAAGAGAAAAGATTGCAGGTTCCCAAGCAAAAAGAAATTCAGCATCAAGACTAAAACAGAAACCCTGCCTGAGTTTCAGGTCAGCCAGTTTGCCCTGTGGATTTGCCAGCCCCACAATCACATGAGCCAGTTCCTTAAAAAGTAAACCCTTCTCCTCTCCCTCTCTCTCTCTCTTCCCGAAAAGATAAAATTTGCATTAATAAAGACCCAACAGGCAGAATCTTGAACTGGAAGCAACGGAATTGAAACTGGCTAAGGCAGGTAGCAATAAAACACCAAAGGTTCTTGGACAGAAGAATGACACAATAAGCAATACATTTAATGACAATTATTTTGGAATCAATTACAGTGTATGTGTAATATGAACTAGATCAGAGGGATATTAGAAGACATTTGAGGAAATATAGGCCAAAGGATTCTGCGGGTGGCGTTGGAAATGAAAAGGAATTCATCTATACAATGAGGATATGACAAAAAATTTAGTAGGCATGTTTTGTATTTTTAAGGTCTTTTAGTAAAAGTTCTGTCAGAATACTATGTATATAGGTATTTACTTACCATATTTGTCTCGCAAGCCAACAGTGCATCTAAAGACTCCACCAAAGGCAACATCTTCACCAAATATTACTGAAAAACAGTATTTAAATAATACATTTTATTTAATAATTCCTAAATAATACTAACCATGAGAAATAAGTAATTTAAATGTTTACATTTTAATCACAAAACAGAAATGGACCATAGATCTATATCAAAGTTTCTCAACTTCTATATTACTGACATTTTAGACCAGATGATTCTTTTGTTGTGAGGGCCTGTCCTGTGCACTGTAGATATATAGTAGCATCCCTGGTCTCTACCCACTGGATGACAGTTACTATACACACACACACACACACACACACACACACACACAGTTGAGACAACAGAAAGTGTCTTGGCTTACATTGCTTACATTGTTAAATGTAAAGAGAGTTGTGGGAGTGGGGACTAAGATTACCCCCCGCTGAGAAAGAATCATTGATCTAGAATCTCATTTGTTTTATCCATGAAGAAAATGAGACCAGAGAAGTAGTCTGACTGGCCAAGTCAGAAAGCTAGAGGCAGAACTATGACTCATGCTCTAGACTTCCAGGCCTGTGGTTTTTCCTGAGACACAGTATACAGTAAGTCAGTCATCAGAAGAGCATTCCAAGCTAAGGCAACAGTCACAAATAGGAAAGGGATTTAGACTGTGTGAAGTAGAAAGGAGGCAAGCATGACGGACACAGTGAGCAAGGCAAAGAATGGTGTAGGTGGAAATTGGCAGGAGTTTTAAAATAGAGGGTATTCATAGAGCTGAATGCTAGTCTCATAAATGCACCTAACCAGTTTTTTTGAGCAAAAGAAAAAAGCTCACCCTTCTCTATGAATTTACTCATCTGGTTCAATCATTATCAAGTAGCATTCAAAACAAATCAAGATCTAATTATCCTTTAGTCCAGCTCTCACTTTTCCCTAAAAAATAATGTTTTTCATTTAACCTTAAAACTACAGATTCTCAGGTGGAAGCCCAACGTATATTAAACATATATGCACGCACAAATATATAAGCTGTATATATAGATATATGTTAAATATATGTGTATCTAATACATATATGAAGTAAAGCCAATCAAATGTGAAAACATATAGTGGAAGAACAATTGGTTTTGTATCAATAATTTAATAAGATGAAGATTAAGATACTTATATAATTATATATAAATATTACAATTATTTCCAAAAAATATTACAAGTTGAAAGACAATGTAACCCAAAGGGAAGCATAAAATCAAGTCTTCATTTTATAAATAAATAGTTGAATGAAAAAGTATTTTGTTTTTTTTCTATATGCCAGAGAAACAGGAGTACACAGTAGGTTTTAATCCAGAAGTCATTAATATAATATCAGGACCACACATACTGTAAGAGAAAGCTGACTAGATGTTAAATATACATGCGAACTAACTGGTAATAAGTGGACTAATTGCAATTTGATTATTTAGCCCTAATCATTTGAGTAGGCCTTTGAAAATTTCACGTAGATACAATGTTAACCATTGAGCTCCACATAAATATTTTAAGCAAACCTTCAATTCTGGAATTAACACAGCTACCACAATTCAGGCACAAATCAGGGTTACCTGCAGTAGGATCTTTGGCCAATGAGTTATCCAAGGCACTTGTTACTGACTGGAAAAGATTCATTTTCTGAGTTTGCCCTGTGAAAATCAAAAAAAAAAAAAAAATCATTTCATACATTGTAAAATACGTAAAAACAACCAGTTTCTTAACAGTTAATTACAACTTGACTAAAATCAAGGTACAAAGAAAGGTATTATGCAAATTGCTGAATTATTTACAATAATACTATAAGATACAAAAGCAATACAGACCTGTAAAAGTTTGTTAATGGGGAAAATTTTACCCATATTAAACAATTTTTTGTAAAAGTATAAAAAAGGAAGAAGGAATATAGCCAAGGGATTAAATATGTATAGACAATAAAACCTATGGAAAGTCAGAAAAGGAGACCAAAGTGAGTGGTCTGGGAGAAGCACAGACAGGTGTTATGAACCTAAGCCATCAGGAATATGCACGACCAGTAGCATGTGTTAAATATGTCAACAGCAAATGGTCATGGACCATAAAACAATAAGGAGGGCTAAAGATAAACTTTAGTGCCCAGAACTGCTGGAGTTTGGAAAATATCATAATCTTATGCCTAACCACATCATATTTAGTCCTTCTTCTTATTACTTAAATAGAATATCTGCGTGCCAGTGTCCATCCCCTAAATGGATTTTTTGGGAAGAATAAAGCAAGCAGTATACGTAATACACCCAGAACAGTACCTGATGTAGTGAGTGCTGAATAAATATTAGCTATTCATTGTTAGATTCTGGACTCTGTCCGTGTCCTTCCATCTTCACCTTAGTACTCTTCTGAATGGTATAGAAAGTTTCATTTGATAAACTTCTAAATGTTGGAATTCAGAAACATCATGACATTGGAGCTTTGATTCAAGCCTAGGTGCCGCCCAGTGCCCACAGTCATCCCAAAACTTTAAGTCAACTCCTCTGCAAAAGTACAATTCAGAGCACAGAAAGGCTTCAGCCTAAATCTCCTCTGATCCAGAGGCCCACTCTTCATCCTAGTGCCTGATATACATGCTGGTGGTCGCCTTAACACACAGCATGCTAATAACAAGTCTTTTTGAAACCTGTTGCTTACCCTGATCACTGCCCACCTAACCTCCATGCTATTCATTAGCCTAATGTGTCTCAACAGTCAAGATCTAATTCCCAGTCTGGGTCACAACAGCTACTGCTGTTGCCTTCAACTGTCTGATCATGGGACATTGGTCACTTGTCCTTTTCCTAGAGACCCATTTTCTTCCCTAGCCCGGCACTGCTCCACAGCAGGTTCTGATACATGACATCCTTCCTCCTTCCGTTATCCACCAATACCCCAGCCTTCTGATGTTCTCCCTACTCTGGTATCTGACGTCTCTCTGATCATTTCAACAGTACTAAATGCCCAGGTTTCAGGTCTTGGCAATCCCCAGTCAGATACGTCCTCTGTCCTCTGTGCCCACAATCATAGCCTGTTTCTACTCTTATACTTGGTGGAGACAATAGGAATTTATTCAAAAATTATTTTATATCACCTATGGCAAAAGATATACAATCATACCACATGTCCATGATTACTTAAAAATTTATTTTTCTTCAGGCTAGGGCTATATCACTTAATAGATACAGGCATACCTTGTCTTATTGTGCTTCATTTTATTTTGCCCTACAGATACTGCAATTTTTACAAATGGAAACTTTGTAGCAAACCTGTATCAAGCAAGTCTATCAGCATCAGTATCACATTTTGGTAATTCTCACAATATTTCAAACTTTGTCATTACTATTACATCTGTTACCATGATCTGTGATCAGTGATCTTTGAGGTTACTAATGTAATTATCTTGGGGTGCCACAGCCTTCTGACATTCTGCCATGGCACCCCAAGACAATTACATTAGTAACCTCAATAAATGTTGTGTGTGTTCTCACTGATCCACTGACCAGTCATTCCCCCTTTCTCTCTCCCTTTCTTCAGGCTTCCCTATTCCTTGAGACACAATAATATGAAAATTAGGCCAATTAATATTCCTGCAGTGACCTCTAAGTTTTCAAGTGAAAGGAGGAGCTGCATATCTCTCACTTTAAATCCTAAGTTAGAAATGACTAAGCTAAGTACGGAAGGCATTCTGAAAGTCCAGAGAATCTGAAAGCTAGGCTTCTTGCACCAAATAGCTTAAAAGTTCTCGAAGAAAATTTAAAGTGTTATTCCAGTGAGCACACAAATGATAAGAAAGCAAAATAGTCTTATTGCTAACATGAAGAAAATTTTAGTGGTCTGAATAGAAAATCAAATCAGACACAACATTCCCTTAAGTCGAAGCCTAACACAGAGCAAGTCCCTAACTCTTTTCAATTCTATGAAAGCTGACAGAGGTGAGGAAGCTGCAGAAGAAAAATCTAAAGCTAGCAGAGCTTGGTTCATGAGATTTAAGAAGAGACGCTGTCTCAGTACGTACAACGGCAAAGTGAAGCATAAAGTGCTGATGGAGAAGCTGCAGTAAGTTATCCAGAAGATCCCACTAAAATCATTGATGAAGGTAGCTATACTAAACACAAGATTTTTCAATGGAGACAAAACAGCTTCTACTGGAAGATGTTATCTTGGATTTTCATAGCTAAAGAGGAGAAGTCAATGCCTGGCTTCAAAGGACAGGTGGACTCTTTTGTGAGGGGCTAATGTAGCTGGTGATCTGAAGTTGAAGCCAATGTTCATTTGCCATTCTGAAAGTCCTAGCACCCTTGAGAATTAGGCTAAATCCACTCTGCCTGTTCACTTTCAATGAAACAACAAACCCTGAATGATAGCACATCTCTTTATATGAGGGTTTCCTGAATATTTTAAGCCCACTGTTGAAACCCACTGCTCAAGAAAAAAAGATTCCTTTCAAAATATTACTGCTCATTGACAATGTGCCTGGTCACCCAAGAACTCTGATGGAGATGTATAAGATTAACGTTGCTTTCCACAGATCAAAAGAGACAAAGAAGGCCGTTATATAATGGTAAAGGGATCAATTCAACAAGAAGAGCTAACTATCCTAAATATATGCACCCAATACAAGAGCACCCAGATTCATAAAGCAAGTCCTTAGAGACCTACAAAGAGACTTAGACTCCAAAACAATAATAATGGGAGACTTTAACACCCCACTGTCAATCTTAGATCAATGAGACAGAAGGTTAGCAAGGATATCCAGGATCTGAACTCGGCTCTGCACCAAGCAGACCTAATAGACATCTGCAGAACTCTCCACCCCAACTCAACAGAATATACATTCTTCTCAGCCCCACATCACAATTATTCTAAAATTAACCACATAACTGGAAGTAAAGCACTTTTTAACAAATGTAAAAGAACAGAAATCACAACAAACTCTCTCTCAAACCACAGTGCAATCAAATTAGAGCTCAGGATTAAGAAATTCATTCAAAACCGTACAACTACATGGAAACTGAACAACTTGCTCCTGAATGACTACTGGGTAAATAAGGAAAAGAAGGCCAGGCGCAGTGGCTCACGCCTGTAATCCCAGAACTTTGGGAGGCCAAGGGGGGCGGATCACCTGAGGTCAGGAGTTCGAGACCAACCTGGTCAACATGGTGAAACCCCTTCTCTACTAAAAATACAAAAATTAGCCGGGCGTGGTGGCAAGTGCCTGTAATCCCAGCTACCTGGGAGGCTGGGGCAGGAGAATTGCTTGAACCCAGGAGGCAGAGATTGCAGTGAGCCGAGATCGCACCACTACATTCCAGCCTGGGAGACAAGAGTGAGACTTCATCTCAAAAATAAGAAAGAAAAGAAAGAAAGAGAGAGAGAGAGAGAGAGAGAGAGAGAGAGAGAGAGAGAGAGAGAAAGAAAGAAAGAAAGAAAGAAAGAAAGAAAGAAAGAAGAAAGAAAGAAAGAAAGAAAGAAAGAAAGAAAGAAAGAAAGAAAGAAGGAAAGAAAGAAGGAAGGAAGGAAGGAAAAGGAAGCAGAAATAAAGAAGTTCTTTGAAACCAACGAGAGCAAAGATGCAACGTACCAGAATCTCTGGGGCACATTTAAAGCGCTGTGTAGAGGGAAATGTATAGCACTAAATGCCCACAAGAGAAAGCATGAAAGATCTAAAATTTACACCTAACATCACAATTAAAAGAACTAGAGAAGCAAGAGCAAACACATTCAAAAGCTAGCAGAAGGCAAGAAATAACTAAGATCAGAGAAGAACTGAAGAAGATAGAGACACAAAAAACCCTTGAAAAAATCAATGAATCCAGGAGCTGGTTTTTTGAAACGATCAATAAAATTGATAGACCACTAGCAAGACTAATAAAGAAGAAAAGAGAGAAGAATCAAATAGACACAATAAAAAATGATAAAGGGGATATCGCCACCGATCCCACAGAAATACAAACTACCATCAGAGAATACTATAAACACCTCCATGCAAATAAACTAGAAAATCTAAAATAAATGGATAAATTCCTGGACATATACACCCTCCCAAGACTAAACCAGGAAGAAGTTTAATATTTGAATAGACGAATAACAGGCTCTGAAATTGAGGCAATAATTAATAGCCTACCAATCAAAAAAAGTCCAGGACCAGATGGATTCACAGTCGAATTCTACTGGAGATACAAAGAAGAGCTGGTACCATTCCTTCCTCTTGAGGGAAGTCAGGGACCCCAAGCAGAGGGTCCAGCTGAAGTCACGGCACAGGAACATAAATTTTGAAAATTTCATGGACATTTAACAGTTCCCAAATAATACTTTCATAATTTCGTATGCCTGTTTTATTTTAATCTCTTAATCCTGTTATCTTCGTAAGCTCAGGATGTATGTCACCTCAGGACCACTGTGATAATTGTGTTAACTGTACTAACTGATTGTAAAACCTGTGTGTTTGAACAATATGAAATCAGTGCACCTTGAAAAATAACAGAATAACAGTGACTTTTAGGGAACAAGGGAAGACAAGCATAAGGTCTAACTGCCTGCGGGGTCGGGCAAAAAGAGCCATATTTTTCTTCTTGCAGAGAGCCTATGGACATGCAAGTAGGAGAGATATTGCTAAATTCTTTTCCTAGCAAGGAATATTAGT